GTTCTAAGGGGGACACCGCTGCCCCTATCCTGCACAAAACACTACGGTATCCCTCTCCCAGAGCTGGAATTTTCAGGGAATGTTCCCAATCCACTTACGGCTTAAAGTTACCGAATTCAGCCCCCAGGCGTGCGTGGTCCTCGTGCACAGGCGCTTAAATTTTTGGCGGGAAATTACTAATTGAACGGGTGGTCAATTTTCAAAAAACGGCACGCTAAGCGGATATTGTTTATTTTTTAATGCAAAATTTACGATGAGTTACGGTATTGAGAGCACAGGGTAGGTGTAAAGAAACAACCACTCATGCAGTTGACCTAAAATTATTTCAAGTCTGGTGCAAAAACGCATGATCGCGCCGGCTCGCCTTGTGCGTTCCAGCCTGGGTTGTATTTAAATATATGCAAAACGCATAATAAAGAGTGCTTGTCAGCGCAAACACTTTTGCTGTGCAATTTAAAGCGGCGGTACCGCGCGATAACATGAGCATACAAATGATGCACAACGTGCTGTCTAATGAATACAAGCCAGTAAAAATATGATGCATTGGAAGGGAAGGAAGGACAAGAATAATATCACTTCACTGTAATATACAAGCGCCTGACACGGGAACTGTCTTCCATTTTCACAAGCATCTGGAATTGCTTGCTCGCTGTGGATAGGAAGGTAACGCATAAAATGCGCAGTGCAAGTTCAGTCAAGCAGCAAGCTTACTTTGTGAAATATGACAGCTGATAATGAAAAAATGTCAAACTTGCAGATCCGTTTCTGCCCGCTATACTGAACGAGTGCTATTCACAAATGTAAGTTTATTTGTGCTAATTAAATCCGGCTTACTGTATGTAGATAAGAAAAGCAAGTGCCTTTGGACCGAATGTTTGCAGTCTTCTTCAAGACTTCTTCTTATAAGCTACACCTTGATATCCGTTCCAAAGCAAGCAAATGCCGCACCTGAAGACTGTGTAAAGCTGGATTAAACTTAAGGTAGGCTGAGACTAACGATTATCCAAATTGTCAGTTATAAAAGCAACCCATTCAACATCAATTTCTTTACAGATCGATTCGCCGGAAGAAACCAGACGATTTGGTGTGTCAGGTGCTATGTCAAATTACGAAGACTTAGTTGTGCACAGCACATTGTGTAACCAGCCCTCGGAACAAATGGTCTCTGCACTACGAAACATCGAAAAAGCAGTACTCGAAATACGGTCAGCCTAAAAATTATTCTTTGACAAAAATTTTAACGACAAAGAAAAGTAACCTCATCAAATAGAAAAGAGAATTAGGTTGTTTCAATAATCGGAAGGTCATAAGTTCAGATTGGCTAACCTCCGTTACCTCCAGATCCGCAAAACTCGCTGAACTTAAAATGGCTTCCTGAACTTTAATTGAAGGACAAAACTAGAACATCTGACTGTATTCTCATTCTTAACACTCTTCAGTAAGCAATAAAGGAATTGGCTTTGGTGCTCACTGCTTCTTTAACTAATTCAGAAACAGGTTGTTAGTTGCTAGAAGTTTAGGCATGTTCCAAAATGCTAGTAGTAAATTACCATCGAAAAATTACTTGACGGAAACATTTGCTTTTGAGTGCCAAACTCTGCCTCAATTGCAAGGGTAACTGCTTCACCGATTTCAGCTGCCTCATCTTGGCAATTGTCCCTGCTCATTACATGCCCACGCCTTATTGCAAGATCTTTTACATTTGGCTGTCCGCAAAAGTGGTAACTTTATGAGGCCATAAATGTGAGTAATTTCAGGGAAGAAATGACGCGCCTTCTGCCGCAAGATAATTTGCAGAACAAGGGGCAGCAAGTAATCCGGCGCCTCGAAATTATCTCGTTGTCATTTTACGTTTCAATTCTTGCTCTAAGTGCATTTCTCTTTTTCTATCACGATTGGTACTGCGCAATTGGTCACAATCCTTGCGGACAAGCAAACTTGAAATGCCCGTGGATGAAGCCAACTCCCCAACACCAGACCTGCTTCTGAGCCTACCATCATGTGCCTTATTTTCATAGCACATTCATAAGACCTCTCTCCCTCTAAGGACTCAGCAACCACAGGATTACAAAGGACTATCAATACGCACTTGATATGCCCGTGAAACCACTTACATGTCAAAAGTATCTGGATTTCAACAGCACTCTGTTGTAATCATTTGCAGACTGTCCAGAGAGCTGTTTCCTTCCGAAGCTAGTCTGCCATGCTAAGTTTTGGAACTCCTTGTCCAGCCTCAAAAAGCGTCGAGCAAAATGAAAGTGGCAAACTGACATCTGATTGTCGGTGTTTAGCTTTGCTATTTTGATTTTGAAAATTTGCCATTACATTAACCTTTTGGAGCATTTCGTGAAACTGCTAACGCACCTGAAATCATCACAGGCAGGCACTGACAGGATCACTTACGCGGCAGTTTGAAACAAATGAAGCAATAAAAACCCGGCGTTCCCTCCTTTGCTCCCACATACATGGACCAAAGAAAACGGCGCATGTGGAGTGCAGTGAAAACATTCTCATTATAGTGAATTTTTTAAATCCATGCCAGCAAAATACGGCATAGGGGAATTTGGTGCGTCCCAACACAGTTCTTTTCTTAAAGCTGGTCCAGCAACTTCCAGATGAATTCGACACATGTTCAACCAAGCTGCCATATATGGACACTGCTTATGCACAACATTTTACATTCATGTAGGGGATGTGGATGTCCCGCTCTGCCGGGAGCTCATGATCACCAAGACTTCTTCCACACCCTGTCTCAACATACTCCATTTCATCCAGTTCTGCTCAAAAAACATCGAGTGTGAGGCAAAAAGAATTGTTGGAACCTAGTCGACCCGGGTTTTGTAGCGCCACTCCAGCCGGCGCGTCTGGTCAATTGATGTTACGACTGTGTCTTCTGGAATGATAAATAAAATACACCTTCCCGGGCCGAGTGTTAAAAGACTTTCAGGTCCGATCAAGTTTTTTCCCTAATGAACAGCACTAGTGTTCAAGCGCAAGCTGTACACAGCGAAGTCGCGATTGGATGGAACGATAAAACTACAAAGCACTCGGACCGTTACTAATCTATTTTTGGCTGAACAAGCTCCACGCCTTCATGATTTCTTGGCTCATTCGCAAATTTAGCCCGAACGGAGCGGAACGTTCATTTAATTATGCTGAGCCCTCGCCGATTTCAGTCAGAAAATACTGGAGATGATCTTGTCCTTGATAGTATAAGCAACGTTTGTGTTAACCCTTTGAATTCTTTACGTATTAATGCTTCAGCATCCTGCTGAATTTGCCCTGATATCAACATTTTGCGTGACCAACACACTCAGCTCCTTTCGTTAATAATATACGAAACATCCTGTTCTATTCCACATCTGTGCAAATTGCCACACTTATGCGCAGTAGTTCCAACTGAAATTTCAAAGAGTGATATATTCTTGTCTTTCTATTCGCTTTATTCGACCCCTGCACTATGAACACTCCGCAGCACGCGAAC